GTGCACCCCCACCTGAGCAGTATCCACTGCACCCGATTTGTTGCCTTTTATCCCTCACTCCCTTCCCACCCTTTCCCCCTGAGTCCCCAAAGTCCAATGTGTCATTCTTACGCCTCTGCATCCTCATAGCTTAGCTCCCACTTATGAGTGAGAACATGTGATGTTTGGTTTTCCATTCCTGAGTTACTTCACTTGGAATGATAGTCTCCAGTCCCATCCAGGTCGCTAGTAGTGCCTTTTGACTGTTCGCTGAGTGATGGAAATTTGTCACACTCTCCATCCCTTCTGTTGCTTTCCTTGTCAATGTATTGGGCATGATAAGGAGGGAAAGGAAAATGTCTCTTGACTACACAGAGTGCAGTCATAGTGCTGTGAAAAATGTCCTGGTAGCCCTCAGCAGGATGGCCACCCCTCTTCCTTACAGACTCATTCCTCCTCTAAACAAGCCAGTCTCACTGATTCGTGGTTCTGTGGCATCTCCAGTGGATTTGACTCATTGTTAAACATGCCTTCCCAGGTGTTTTAAACAGGGGTAGATTTCTCTGCACTAATGCTGAGCGTTGCTTCTTCATCTCTTTTCCTGAGAACTTTAGCTTTATCTTGGCCTTTTGAGATTATTGGGACTGATATGTAGAAACCTGTGTGTTTGGCTGTTCTTGCAACCATGCAAGCATTGGAGATGTGTTAATATTTTGGTGTCTATGGGACTAGAGCAGTTACGGGCAATAGTACCTTTGAAGATAGCATTCACGATGGTTCCTGCCTGGTTATAGGCAGAATCCCTATGTTCCATGTGTTTTTCCACTGAGACTTTTTTTTCTTTCCAACTTTCATTTTAAGTGCAAAGGATGGATGTGCAGGTTTGTTACATGGGTAAATTGTGGGCTGAGGGGGTTTGGTGTACAGATAATTTTGTCACCCAGGTAATCAGCATAATACTCAGTATGTAGTTTTTCAGTCCTTATCCTTCTCTCACCCTCCACTTTGCTCAAATAGGCCCCAGTGTCTATTGTTCTCTTCTTTGTCTCCATGTGTACTCAATGTTTAGCTCCCATTTATAAGTGAGAACATGGAGTATTTGGTTTTCTGTTCCTGCGTTAATTCACGTAGGATAATAATGGCCTCCAGCTCCATTCAGGTTGCTGCAAAGGACATGATTCATTCTTTTTTATGGCTGTGTAGTATTCCATGGTGTATATGTACCACATTTTCTTTATCCAGTCCACTGTTGATGGATATCTAGGTTAATTCCAAGTGGTTTCTTATGCATCCCTGAGACTCTTGAGCACAGGAGGTGGAGGTGGTAGGGCCCTGCGGCTGCTCTTCCTGCTGCGGTATACAGGCAAACAGATGAGGTGTTTAAACACCACCACCAGTAGCCACTTAAGTTGTTTAGCCTGCAGTAATAAACTTGATCATGAGAGAGTGTTAATTTTGATTTATTAATGTTTTTTTTCCACAAATGGATATGGAGATACCCGTCTTCCCCAACTCTCCGGATTAGTCTGCTAGGGCTGCATAACAAACTACCACACACTTAGTGTGTTTTTTGTTTTGTTTTTTTTTTTTTTGAGATGGAGTCTCGCTCTGTTGCCAAGCTGGAGTGCAGTGGCGCGATCTCGGCTCACTGCAACCTCTGCCTCACAGATTCAAGTGATTCTCCTGCCTCAGCCTTGTGAGTAGCTGGACTATAGGTGTGTGCCACCACAACCAGCTAATTTTTGTATTTTTAGTAGAGATGGGGTTTCACTATATTGGCCAGGATGGTCTCTACCTCTTGACCTTGTGATCTGCCCGCCTTGGCCTCCCACACTTAGTGTCTTGAAACAACAGAAATTTATCCTCTCACAGTTCTGGAGGCTAGCAGTCTGAAATCAAGGTGCCAGCTGGGCCACACACCATCTGGAATATCTAAGGGAAGATCCTTCCTGGTGGCTTCCAGGAATCCTTCGCATTCCTTGGCTTGTAGCTGCCTCACTCCAGTTCCTGCCTCCATCACCATATAGACTTCTCTGTGTTCCTCTGTGCATACTCTCCTCATCTTACAAGGACACCAGTCGTTGGATTTAGAGCCTGCCCTAATCCAATATGATCTTATATTAATTACAAAATTTACAATCTGCAAAGTTCCTATTTCTGAATCAGGTCAGATGCTAGGGCTGTGAATGAACATTAATTTTGGGAACATTTTTCAACCCACTACACCCTCCTAGTAATTTTTCTGTTTTTTGGCAAAGTGGCAAGCATTTCAAACAGTTTTAGTTAATTATCATGTTGTTTGCTAGCAAAAATAGTTTTATTTATAAGAAGCAGCTGAGCAGTCACCTAAATTGAGGACTGTGTTAGGGGCTACAGTTGTGTCAGTCTGGGATGACTGTCATTAGTACTCGCGTCACTGTGGTAAGTGTCGTAGTTATTGATTGCAGACTTAGTTCATTGAAGTTGATGATGAAAGGGAACTATTTTGTTCCCATGCCTTCCCATTGGCAAATCAGCTCCTCCTTGTTCCTAGATCTACTTGAAGAGTCTAAATTGCATGCTAGCAGATACTGTGAAAGACTTGAATCACAATTTGATACATTGTAACAGAGCATGCAGAGAACCACCTAAAGCAGTGTAATGTAAGAACTGTTAAGCAAGAAACAGTATAGGAGAGTGTGGCCGTTACATGGGAGAGTTCCACAGTTTTAAATGCTTTCATTGATGCCACGGTGAATTCTCGGTAATTGTCTTACTTTTATAGAGTAATAAAACTGACTCAGAATGTTTGTCAGATTCTAGATATTCCTGGGAAGAAAACTGCTGCCAGCCATTATTTTGACATGTAGCTTTTCACGTTTGCAGTGTGTCTGTTTATAATTAACAAAAGTTTATTAATATAACATTAAGCATTTAAGGCCTTGGAAAAATTGTAGCCCTACAGATGAAGGAGGACTAGCCAATGGCTTTGTCTGTGATAGTTTCTACTTACAATGGTATGACTGAAGATTTTTTTTGAGTTTACAATTGTGTGAAAGTGATATGCCTTCGGTAGAAACTGTGGTTTAAGTATCCATACAACCATTCTGTTTTCCACTTTCAGTTCAGTATTCAGTAATTTACATGATATAGTCAACACTTTATTATAAAATAGGCTTTGTGTTGTTAGATGATTTGGCCAGCTACAGACTAACGTAAGTGTTCTGAACATGTTTAAGGTACGCTAGGCTAAGCTATGATATTGGGTAGGTTAGGAGTATTAAATGCATTTTCGACTTAATAAATAGTATTTTCAACTTATGATGGATTTATCAGGACAGGACCTAATCCCATGCTAAGGAGCATCTGTACCTGGAAATGCTTAGAAGATAATGTGCACTTCTGCCCACATGGTTTACATTTGCAAGAAAGTACATTAGCTATGCTTCGAGAAAGCGTTGTTCTTTTAACTTCTGCCAGTTAACTAAGGACCCTTTTGATTCACAGGAAAAGGAAAAACTAAGATGTGAGCAGGGTTGTCCCAGCTTCTTGCGTTTTCGGAGCAAATAGTAGACGGGTGTGTGATTGTCTTTTTGAACAAAAAAAAGGAGATAAATCCCTCTCCCCACAGACTCCCCTGATATCGTTCTGACTTATTAGAGCCTATTTATTGGTACCTTTCAGATGCTGTGTATGGCTTACCTGATATTGAGGCTTTTATCTTGGCAACTGATGCCTTAGGATTTTCATTTCCTTTGAACTTTTATCTGAAGCCCTTCCTAGAAAAAGGTCTTGCCATTGTGCTGGCTCTGTGTAGATCTCAATTCTTATTACAGTGGTAGACATTGCTCTTTCTTGCCTCCTTTTAAGCACTGCCTAATTTCCTATACTTCTTGTCTCTAAGTGGGTGCACAGTGGAGTGCCTCAGAGCTTGGAGTCTGGAGCAGGGCTTCCTGGTTGTGCCACTTATTTTGCTGGTAACTTAACCTACCTCCAAGATTGGATGGAGAATACCTGAGTTAATATTTGTAAAGTGTTCAAACTGTGCCTGGTTCATAGTATGCATGTGTGTCTTTTTCTTTCTTCAAGATAAACCATGTTCTATATCTTGATTGTGGTAGCGGTTACATGACTATATATATATGTTTGTCAAAACTCATTGGAACTGTGCACTTAAAAAGGATGAATTTTACTGTATATTAATTATATCTTAATAAACCACACCTAAATTTTTTGTTAAGGCTAACAAACAAACTCTTTCATTCAATCAGCAAAGTGTTTATTAAGTGTTACACAGTGGGATTATAAAAACATATAATTCTGGCCTGGCATGGTGTTGCATGCCTGTAATCCCAGCACTTTGGGAGGCTGAGGTAGGAGGATCACTTGAGCCTGGTAGTTCAAGACCAGCCTGGGCAATAGAGCGAGACCCTGTCTCTACAAATAATAATTTTTAAAAATTAGCTGGGCGTGGTGGTTCATGCCTGTGGTTCTAGCTACTTGGGAGGCTGAGGAGGGAGGATTACTTGAGCCCAGGTGGTCAAGGCTGTAGTGAGCTGTGATCATGCCACTGCACTCCAGCCTGGGTGACAGAGGGAGACCCTGTCTCAAAAAAATTTTTGTTTCAAAAAAAAAAAAAACATGTAATTCAAAGACGCTTGCCAGTGTAGATGAATAAACTAATTATAACACAGGATAAATTTGCTTATTAGCATGACATGGTAAGAGGTGCGGCCAAGCAGCTTATTAGTCATCCAGGCAAGAAATGCTGTAGGGGCTTAGAGGCAGGATTGCTTCCTGTAGTCACGAAGACTTCACCAAAGAGTGGGAACGTGAGGTGGACCTTAGAAGATGGGTAGGATTTAGGGAGGTGGGCATTTGGGAGGGCCCATGAATACAGATTCAAAGCCTAGGGGTGGAAACACATGTGGAGAGTTTAGACAACCATGAGAGAGCCGGTTGGATCAAAGTGGATTCTCTCCCACTGTGTAAGGGGCAGCTTTGCCTTCTGGTCTAACACAGCCTTTTTTCTTCATCCGTAGAAAGGTCCCCCTTCTGGGAAAGACCGGGTGAAGAAAGGTGGATCCTACATGTGCCATAGGGTAAGTCATGTCACTAAACTATTTTGTCGTTCTTGTTCTGATAGCAGTTTTATGGATCCATTGTAAATGATAGCCCCGAATGTCTCATTCACTTCTGCAAATGCATACCTAACCCCACTGAAACCAGAAAAAAAGGAGGATAGTCATCTCAAATTTGGTTACAAGCACGGAGAAAAGTAACACAAGTAGCAGAGGTTGTGAATGACGTATTGTCAACCACATTTCATCTATTGAATCTTGCCCCTTTGAGAGACCTTTGTTGTCTCGTGAACTGCGTGGGGGTGAGTGTATATACCTTTTCCAGCATGTGAGTCTGAAAGCACACCCTTAATTTATTTGAGAATCCTGTACATTTCTGGATTTTTTGTTGAGATTCAGGTGAGAGTTATATATGGAGGGCAGATTGTGATATACTGAAATGGAAGCATCCCGTGTTCTAGGTACAAAGTGTGCCTTGTGAAATGAGCATCATTCCCAGAGTGTTTCTTCTCTTCGGGCTATGATTTTAGTGTCTGAGCTGGCTTTCTTCATCAGTTAGAGTGACTTGGTGTTTCATAAATAACCTTTATAAGGAATTTGGAAATAGAATACCATCCCTTCCCTTTTTTCTTTGAGTCATGTATTTTTCACATCTCCTGAACTCCAGCTTTCTCTCCCTGTGCAGAGATGGCATTTTGCAGATTGTTATTGCTGCAAAGCTTCCCCTAGTAATTTATTCAGTCCAGGTGGTTAGAGACTTAAAACCACCTATAATGGCTCCAAATTAAGTTACTAATTTGATAATGATGGCATTATCGAATTTTGTCTTAAAACAGTGGTTCTCAAACTTTATTCCACATTGTAATCATCTGGGATCTATATAAAATACTGATGTCTGGTTCCTCACTCACCCCCATTCTGATTTGATTTTTCTTCAGTGTGAGCTGGGCATTGCATTTTTTAAAGCTCTCCAGGTGATGAAAACATACGTCCAAGTTTGGGAATCACTAGCCTAAAGCAAATCTCTCTAGATTATATATATATATGAGTTTGTATGTATGTGTATCTTCTGTATTTCTTAGGATTTTTAATCTAGTGATTCAGGTAGAAGTTCATAAAGCAGAGCTCAATTGATGCTTTAGACCTACACTGATAATAAGATGTAGACCAATTTATCTTCATAAAATCTTTTTTTTTTTTTTTTTTTTTTTTTTTGGTGACAGGGTCTCACTCTTCATCCAGACTGAGGTGCAGTAGCACAATCACAGCTCACTGCAGCCTCGACCTCCTAGGCTCAAGTGATCCTCCCATCTCAGCCTCCCAAGTAACGTGGCTAATTTTTAAATTTTTTGTAGAGATGGGGTCTTGCCGTGTTGCCTAGGCTGGTCTTGAACATTTGGGCTCAGAAAATTCTTCCTGCCTTTGCTTCCCAAAATGTTGGGATTCACTGCGCCTGGCCTAAAATTCTAGTTTTAATTTTAAATTAAAAGCGTTGTCCCAGGTCTTCCCAATATATTTATATGTTCACATATACATCAGAGTCTTTAATCCCAGATTGTTTCTCTATTTGAAGTTGTTGCTACAAATGTACCTGGATCTTCTTGCCAGGGAACCAGGCTTCCATGGAAAACAGGTGAATCTCTCTTTGTACAGTAGTGTCTCAAAATCCTAATTGTCACCAGTTATGTCTCTGACATATGGCACTTTTCTAAATTGAGAATCCATTTACTTTCTAAGTAATTGAGGACCAGAAGATTTTTCTTCAAGAATAAATGGGGTAACAGAAGCTTGTAAAAAACATTTTAAGCAAGTAAAGAACATTAACTATCCTAATTCCATGCATATGAATGTATCTACTTTCATGTTTATAATTTTTAGCTTACTTGTAATCTACATTTTTATAAGCTTCCCAGTAGATTCTTTAAAAATATCTTTTAACCTCCTACATGCTTTATTAAGTATGCTTACATGGTACTGATTTTTGTATGTTCATCTTGTATCTTGCAACCTTGCAAAACTCATTTATTAGTCCTAGTAATGTTTTTGTAGATTGTATTATATTTTCTACATAGGTGATCATATGATCTGTGAATGTTGACAGTTCTTCCTTTCTAATCTAGATGCCTTTTATAACTTTTTCTTGCTGTATGTCATTGGCTAGAACTTTCAGTATAGTGTTGAATAGGAATGATAAGAGTAGACATTCATACCTCATTCTTGATCTTAGGAAATAAACATTCAGTTTTTCAAAATCAGATATGTGTTAGCAATAGCTTTTTCATAGACGCCCTTTACAGCTTGAGAAAGTTTTTTTCCATTGCTAATTTTTTGTGAGTTTTTTTTTTTAAATCAGCAATGGATGTAGATTTTGCTGGGTGCTTTTTCTGCATCTATTGAGATGATAATATGATTTTTCTTTTTCTTTTTTTCTTTCTTTCTTTCTTTCTTTCTTTCTTTCTTTCTTTCTTTATTTTTTATTATTATATTTTAAGTTCTAGGGTACATGTGCATAACATACAGGTTTGTTACATATGTATACTTGTGCCATGTTGGTGTGCTGCACCCATCAACTTGTCAGCACCCATCAACTCGTCATTTACATCAGGTATAACTCCCATTGCCATCCCTCCCCCCTCCCCCCTCCCCATGATAGGCCCCGGTGTGTGATGTTCCCCTTCCCGAGTCCAAGTGATCTCATTGTTCAGTTCCCACCTATGAGTGAGAACATGCGGTGTTTGGTTTTCTGTTCTTGTGATAGTTTGCTAAGAATGATGGTTTCCAGCTGCATCCATGTCCCTACAAAGGACACAAACTCATCCTTTTTGATGGCTGCATAGTATTCCATGGTGTATATGTGCCACATTTTCTTAATCCAGTCTGTCACTGATGGACATTTGGGTTGATTCCAAGTCTTTGCTATTGTGAATAGTGCCGCAATAAACATACGTGTGCATGTGTCTTCATAGCAGCATGATTTATAATCCTTTGGGTATACACCCAGTAATGGGATGGCTGGGTCGTATGGTACATCTAGTTCTAGATCCTTGAGGAATCGCCATACTGTTTTCCATAATGGTTGAACTAGTTTACAATCCCACCAACAGTGTAAAAGTATTCCTATTTCTCCACATCCTCTCCAGCACCTGTTGTTTCCTGACTTTTTAATGATTGCCATTCTAACTGGTGTGAGATGGTATCTCATTGTGGTTTTGATTTGCATTTCTCTGATGGCCAGTGATGATGAGCATTTTTTCATGTGTCTAAAACATTTCTAAAACACCAAAATGTCTAAAGCAACGGCAGCAAAAGCCAAAATTGACAAATGGGATCTCATTAAACTAAAGAGCTTCTGCACAGCAAAAGAAACTACCATCAGAGTGAACAGGCAACCTACAGAATGAGAGAAAATTTTTGCAATCTACTCATCTGACAAAGGGCTAATATCCAGAACCTATAAAGAACTCAAACAAATTTACAAGAAAAAAACAAACAACCCCATCAAAAAGTGGGCAAAGGATATGAACAGATGTTTCTTAAAAGAAGACATTCATACAGCCAACAGACACATGATTTTGCTTTTTCTGTCTGTTCATATGGTGAATTACATTGATTTTCAAATATTAAGCTATCCTTGCATTCCTGGGATACGTATCATTCCACTTAGTCATGATGTATTATCTTTTTTATACATTTTGGATTTGATCTGCAAAAATTATGAGTGAGTATTTTTGCATCTAGTTTATTCTGTGTTTTCTTGTAATATCTTTGTCTGATTTTGGTTTCAGGGTATTGCTGTCTTCATAGATTGAGTTAAATATTAACTTATTTTACATGTTTTACAAGAGTTTATGTAGAATTAGTGTTATTCTTGAAATGTTTGATAGGATTCCTTGGTGAATGCATTTGGGCCGAGAGTTTTAACTATTAATTAATTTAGAAAACAGGATCGAATTTCTGAACTCAAGCAATTGTCCTGCCTCAGCCTCCCTAGTGGCTGGGACTATACATATGAGCCAGTATGCCAATTTTTTTTCTTTTACTATAGGCCTAATTTTTAAAATAGATGTGGGACTATACAGCTTATCTGCTTCTTCTTGAGTACATTCTGGTAGTTTGTATCTTTTAAGGAATTTGTCCATTTCATTTGATTTATTGTATTTATTGGCATAATCTCTGCCTTTCTTTGGGTGTTTAGACTATTTATATTTACCGTGGTTTTTGATATGGTTGGGTTGAAATGTGCCATCTTGATTTTTTTTTCTCTTTGTCTCACCTGTTCTTGTTCTCTGTTTGTCTTCCTTTTTATTGCATACTTTTTATCACCCTATTTTCTCTCCTTAATACTTATTAGCTGTAACTCTTTGTTTTATAATTTTAGTATTAATTTAAAGTTTATATTACGCATTTTTATCTTTTCTTAGCTTACCTGAAGGATTTGTTTTAATTTAGTTAGGTTCCATATGATGGGGATAACATTTTAGAAGAGGAGAATAGCAGAGTGACAAAACTGAGTGGGATCCACAGGATTTTCCATAGAAAAATGGCACTTCCAGGATCTTGGTCAAGTGAATTGTTTATTAGGTTGGTCTTTAACATCAGTCTGATTATATCTGTAAGGTCAGGAAAATAGCACAGTGTTGATTGTGAATTATTTTCAGAGTGCTTAGCCTTTCCAGTAGATTAAGAGTGACAGCTTTTACTAAATTATTGGGATGTGGATTAGGGAATTACATCTGGATTGGAGTTCTATATCTGTTTCTTGCCAGGTATGTGACCTTGGGGAAATTACTTAATCTTTCCAAGCCTCAGTTTTCACATTTGTAACATGCTATAATTATACCCATTATAAGGTTCTGGTGAAGATGCTATAATTATACCCATTATACCCATTGTAAGGTTCTGGTAACATGCTATAATTATACCCATTATAAGGTTCTGGTAAATGAACCAACATATATAAGTTCTTGGTACAGTGCTTAGCTTGTGGTAAAGGCTCAGTAAAAGTTAGTTGCTCCTATCAG